CGTTTTTCCGTCTGGCGAAATCCTTGTCACTGGCCTCTTGTATGTCTTTTTGCCTGCATACGCTACCTCTGATCGCCAAATAATTGACAGCTCCGAAGTCTGCGAATAATCCCTCGTTGTCATTCATTTCGCCGAGCCATAGCCTCTCGATTAGTTCTCTTCCTGTACTATTTGGTCCCAGTTCACCTGCCATTCATATCACTCATGAGTATTTTCATTTCACCGTTTGTGGTGTTGTCCATTACTGTTTGTAGCTCTCTGTACAACTGTTCCTTCTTCTCCACTGATTATGCGTTATATGTAGCACTGGATAATTGTGATCTCCCTCCCTTCTTTCTTTCCTTTCGAGTTGAATCCTGCTGTCATGATCATGCAGAATGAAATTGGTTCCCATTGCATTAGGATTTCGGCTGCCACTGGTGAGATCGCTATAGCTAATCACTGCATCAAAAGAAATTATGCGCGCACGTCTTAGTATAAAATTTCTCTGATAATATGTTTCCCACTTGTTTTATGTTACGAAAACAGTGTAAGGCACGAACTGACTAACCAACCTTCTTTCCACCAGTAAATATACAATTTTCTTTATCCTTATACCTAATATACAATCCAAGATAGACCCACGAATCTGTACTCCCACTCTACTTACTCTGTCACATTCGCTCTTTATTTGGCTTGTCTCTGATTGCATTCTCACACCTGATTCCATATGCTTACATAAGAGGCGAACAAAGTACATGTGTAGATGTGCTTCGATAATTTTGTTGATACTCAGGAAAGAATAATGTTGACAGAGCCTGTCAGGTCGTTGATTACATTCCTACTGTGTATGCATGCAATGATTAATCTTGTGACTTAAGAGTACCATCTACAACTGAATTCGAAGATGGCAGTCAGTCACTCAAAATAATGTCGAATGTAAAGTTTGAGACGTATGTGTTCATGGCTGCGTGGAATGTGTTTTACAGACATTGGTGCAATTGAACATTTCGAATAAAGCTCACATAGTCTGTTGAAGTCTCTCGATACTCATCGACTAACTAAGAGGTTTTGTATAGATCCATACTAGATAACGCAGCTGTTGTCAGATGCGTTTCACAATTATAATAGAATGAAATGCTAATTGTCTCTCAAACATTACTTCCTCAAATTGAGACAAGTATGCATTTCTGTATTTTCTATAGTTTTGTCAAGAAATGCATGATACCAATTTACTTAAATTCTGGCAATTGTTACACTAATGTCTTTCGTCTACATGGTGTTTTCATTTCACAGGTTTCACATGTGTCTCACGATCGTTAGCTGATGGAAATAATCGAGAGCTAAGTGGTGAGATAAAAAATAACCGTTTAATTTGATAGTGTTTAAGAATCGTATAAAAGTTTTACGTATGAGGCAGGATGAGTTGAGCTTCTCCCGAGAATGAGAATCAGTTGTGAAGTCGTTGAGATACCGGGGGTCACTGGACAGTCATGAATCCATTATTATTCACGCGTCCACTCTCCAACAATACTGACACATTTAATTGATGATGTTGTGTTCTTCGGGATACTCGAAGCTGATTATTACTTCTGGAGCTTTGACTGTCTTTCCAGACGAAATCGCCATGCCAGTTGATATATCCACCTGAGACACAAATCTTTCCTACTGGCTCATATATATTGGAGGCCAACAGTCAGTTTATTTTTTGATGCTATTATTGTTGTGTTCAATTTATTGGGTGGGTATCACCTGTCAAGCGAAGCTGTACACTGAAAAATCTCAAGAAGAATTTCAAGTATTGGTTTGATGGAGATTTAGTTTGATTGGATGAAAGATTTCATCATGAAATGACATCCGTTGAAGAAGCACTAGTTTTTCCGTCGATTGAATGACCTTTATTCCTTTGAAAATGGAAAATTTATTACCTGAAAATATCAAGTGTGTGCAATGAAAATATTACAAAGAATCTCCCAAATTAGACATTCTTATCACCAAATCAGTCAAACTTAGTCAAATAGTCTTATGAATTTCGCTGGAATTCACAACTATGGTAGTGAGATATCATCACTTGTGTTAACACCCTCTTTCATGTGATAAACATTGTGTATCAGTGCGATTTTACGGCGTAATAAATGAATTCACCGAAAACAGCCTCTCCACTCAACTACCTGTCTTCCATTCGTTACTATCTGGATGAGGGTCATTCATAAAATGAGATATGAGTCACACAGTGGTTTGGGTGTGATCAATCATACCCTACAACTACTTCCTCATTGTTATGTATACACTCAAAGGTATAAGAGAAAATATTTCCCAGGAAGAACCAAAGGGAACATATATCTATATACATGTAATAGTTAGTGCAGAGATATTGAACAAAGCATCGAGAAGACAAATATAACAAAATCATATCAACATTTCGTAGTTTCTTCACCATCGCCTTACTACTACAAGGGTTCACATGAATGAAATGAGGTCTATGAGAATCACTCATTTACAACAGAAGTACATACCAATGAGCACAGAAATTTTATCAGGTCAAGTAGTCCATAATAAGTACATGTTGCAATCTGTTGTTTTCTGCACACACCGTTTCAAGTGCATGTAAATATTCCATAAAAAAATTCCATCATTTTCTAGAAACCTGAATTAGATAGAGTTACGCGAAATAGTAGAACAAGAGATATCTCAGAAGTGGAGATAAGGATGCATTGAAACCTGCTGTTAAGAATTGACTCACTGCAACATGCTTAGTCATCAGTTGCCTTGTGACTTTTCGTTAACATCCATCTGCTGAGCTGCGTTAACTAGCGTCAACTGAATTGCGATTTTCGAAGTCACGAATTCAATGAAATAGGAAGCTAACAACTGCTCTCACAAATCTTCGTCCAAGGTGGGTAATGTGTGTCGCAGGAGATTTCTCAGCGTCACTGAGAGAATCCAGGAATTGTTATCCCGAAAAGGTTTCAGAGACCAGGACATCTGCAGTGCCCCTTATTTATATGTGGGCTGTCAGACTCGCATAGGAGTTTCTCGACGACCTTGTCTCACGCCACCCCACCGTCAACCTCCCGGGCGTCGCCGCAGGCATCCTCCGCACGGCCTTTAAGCAGAGACCTCAAGGCAAAAATAATGCCTTCTTCTCCACAATTGCCAGTTCATCTTTGTGACCATCATAACCCATGTTAGCTTTTTGAATCTTCTCTAGGTAGCCGTTTCCCCCTTCAATATCCCGGACGACCTGGGGTGCTGTCTCTAGAGAGTGTCTCGAGCGAATCGACATTCCAATCAAACTACTTTTGACTTCCAAAAGCGCGAAGCCGAGTAAGTGTATGTATTGAGATGCAGTATTAAACAATATAAATATGATAATTTCAATGGAACCTTCCTCTCTTCTCGTCAGTGTGACTTCGAGAAAGTGCACAGACTCATTGTATTCTTCTGTCACAGGTGTACGTGAATGAACATCACCGATGTGGCTCAAAATCATATCATCGTACATTACAAAATCGCTATCTACGCAACAATAGTACAGTCCCATTTCAGTTATTTCATCGTTACAACAAAAAATCCTCTAGTTTTGGTTTGAAATTGGCACTAAGCATACGAAGGTGTCTGCCAGAGACACGTTAGTGATGAATAAGGAGGAAGCATCAATGGATGACATATCTATCTGTTGTGTTCAAATTATTTTTGATCTTATCAATAAATTGACAGTGTGCTATACTATCTGATCAAAAAGCGATCCAACTACCTGTACCAGCCACTTTGCAGTATCATGATAATCTAATTGCAACGTCTAATGTGGAACAGAGTCACCTTTGAATAATACCTTCTCGGTTAACCGTGTTATTGAGAGAAGAGACAGGCATATTTCACCACCAACACGTGAAGATCTAAAACACACATGGAGCAAGAACCATTCAGTCTTTATCCACAATGTTGATCTGACTATTTGTATTTCTGATCTCACTTACCATTAATTGTCAATTTCACATTGCAGATCAATTTACAACTTGTCTTCTTAACTTTCCAATACTCCAGTGATTATTTCAATGTGTGCATACAGAGGCTTAGTGGTATCCTTTACCCCTTCTATTCTACTGCTCAATCAACTATTCTTACTATTATTATTACTATTATTATTATCCTTGATTAATTAATTAATTAGTGGCCTCAATATTATTAATTCTCAGTAACAAATGAATGTGAATATTTTGTATGCAGGCAGATAACTATGTTAACGTAGTTCAGTTTCATGAGAATGATGGACACATCGTGTATGCTATTTGCTATTGGATGCCAGTGAGAGTTGAGTAAACAGAAAGTACATTGTCCAGTAATAATAATGGTAGTAATAAGAATAATTATTATAAATAAATATATTTATATATATAAATCTGTATGTGAGCATTGTATATTCGTCACGGACAAGATATTCCGCTGTAAATAACCTCAGGTCTTTAGTTCTCTGCTTGGAAGTATTGTGAAGTAAGTTCAACACCATAATTTATTAATAGTAATGATAATAATGATAACTTGTAAAATGTAAAGTGCTTTGATGTGTTTCACCTGTCAGTGTAATCGTGTTTTCTTAACGAAGCTGAGCTGACTACTGGTAGTGTGTGAGTCCTAAGACAACATTGGGACAGGAATCAAACTCAACCCAAATCCGTGTTTGGTGAGCACTGTAACAATGATGTAACCGACCCACAATTTTGATACTGACAGTAGTTTATGCAAAGGATGAAGATTTGGTGTTGAATAGACACCTCTGTCTCCACTATAATTGTGATGACAAAAAGGATACTCCGAACAAGCAACACGGTGATAGATGAGTGCAATACCGACAGTAATAGTACCTCATATTATTAGGATTTGTTATTTCATCTTTGAGGCAATACACCGTCTCCTGATAAATGAACGAATATTTGCTAATAATACTCTGTGATCTGGATCACACAGTCATTGCACAATTTTTGATTAACTGAACGGTTTATTTTCATATGACTTTTCAGAAAATATCAAACCCAACACAAAAATACAATGAAGTTCTCTGTAGTGTTTATTTGTATACTGCAGTTGATACTAGTCACATCACAAGATACTTCTATCACAGGGAATGAAAACAACGATGTCGTACAATTTGGTCGAGGTGTCATTGTAATTGCTCCTGATGTTACAACTATGGTTGAGATCACTGCAGAGACTACAACTATGGTTAAGACCACTCCAGAGACTACAACTATTGGCGAAACCACTCCAGAGACTACAATTATGAGTGGAACCACTTCTGAAGGTGCAACTGAAACTACAGTAATAGCTTCGACGATGGATACTTCTACTTCAACGCAGAAACCAGATGACTCGAAAGATAACAGTGGTGAGTCAGTGTTTTGATTGAATGTTATTAATGCACAGTGTTATTCACTTGATAACTTTGTCGTTGTCTGATATTTAGAAGGCTGAATTCAACTCATCTTGACTACAATTCAGTTAGGTAGATAAATTCACATCACATTTTCCATTCATTTCAGCATGAAATTATCATTATTATTATTATGACTATTATTACTATTGTTCATTGACTGGTTTTCGACTGAAGCGTAGAGATTCAGTAGCACATCTATATTTCACTCGATTCTCTGAAGTCACTCAAAATCGACCGCGTATCATGTTCATGGCTTCATGAAAAATATTTGACAGCGAATATTGGTAAACAGCCATCTCAGGATGAAAGAGGTGAAGTCGCTAGTCAGACACAGCAAATATGCGTGCAGAAAGAAGATCCAACCAGCTGACAATAGTCCCTGCAAATCGGCGATTTTCGAGTTTTGAGGATAGAGTTAGGAGATAGATATTTGTGACATCCTGACAAGATGTACAGGTCTTAAAGTCATCTCTTCGAATAATCACCGAGATTACCGTGAAAATATGTTTGTTTCATCAGATTTCTATTTGTATATCAAATATCCTACGTGCTTAGTTTTCGGTAAATCACACTACATTGTGTTGTTATCATTTCATGACAGGTTTAGGAGCAGGAGTAATTGTGGGAATTGTATTCGGCAGTCTTGCAGGACTTGCTGTTATCGGTGCAATAATCTACTTTGTTCGACGGTGGATATTGTCCAGATAATATGTGGTGTTTCCGATTTTGTCCCATAATAATAATAATGGTTGATGACTTATGTATTTTATTTTGTGATATTTTGATTGACACTTGATTAGCTTTGGATAAAGCAGATTTCTGTTTTCTTAAACATTTAAACCTTGTTATTTCATTGTACTGATTTTTAGTTTTACTTCTGTAGAATCGTTATTAGTAATGTAAAACAAACTTATCACATTGTTTCTTGACATAATGCTTTTCACTGATTTTGATGGTTCTTCTTGACACAGTGAGACCGTATACACAGTTATGAGAGCAAAGTAGGGTAAATAATTTCAACCCTAAATCGAGTTTAAAGTCAGCTAAAAATTGTATCATCGTGACTGGTTTGGAATGTCGCCTGGCCTCCTGATAATTGCTAGCTGTCTTAGAATAACAGTAGGAAATGCGGAGCAACGACGATGATATGATTGACCGGATCGAGAGATTCGGATAGGTGTTCATTACCCTGAAGTTAATGTGGAGATTTTCAGTAATCAGCAGTACACACTCATTTTCAATACTCATTTCAATAGGCTCTGTGTTTCTACATATTTCATAGACCTGATGAGCGTATCACCACAATTGTTTCAAAAGAGATCACTGCAGACTTTCATTCCCGAATATCACATAGTCGATCTGGAAGAATGAAATCCGAGGAAGTCTGACTTCGAGTCATCGGTCAATAACTGTTCCTCAACAGAAATGCAGAGGAAAATGCAGATGGATGGATTGAGTATGCAGTAAGGAATTCTTTTAGTTGCACTCCACGTCAGGTCTTCGAGTGGAACCTGATTCAGATTGAATGAGCATCTTATGGTCCTGAGATTGACAGTGAGATGATTTGAAGATAAATTGAACATATTTTGGACAGTGATGGAGGCAGCTGGAAGTGATTTCAATTAATCCAGTAGAATGCATATCTGTCACTGAAGTGCTCCGTTCTAACAGGGATGCAAAGAATGAATAATTCTGATATTTTTGTGGTACTGTGGACTCATGAATTTGTTCCCGCCTAGCGGAAAATGATGGAAACGCACTTGTTTTGAAACAGTCTAGATTAACCTGTATATTAGGTGACTGGGTTAGTAAACTAATAGGTGAAACATGCAGATTGTGTGTTTGATATCAATGAGTCTTGAACAAGTAATCCACGTATTAAATCCGGTTGAAATGAAGCATTTGAAACACAACGTCTAATGACATAAGTTCGGACAAAGCAATGACTAGCAGTGGAATTCAAGATTTATCAACCACTATCCTCTGCACAAATTCAGCCACGAGTGTCACCTCTTCTGCAACGGCCATCACTTATTATCACTAATTCAATTTCGACTTTCTCGTTGATTGATTGAACCGAAGTGCTCGATCGAACCAGATAAACTCGATTGCGTAACTTAGTTAGCTGTTGAATAGCAGGAGAGTTCGAAATCTCAGTATTGTTGACAGCTTGCATTATAGTAACACAGGTAACTCGTGATACTGGTATTTAGGATAGCTGGCATGTTCCTACAACCATGTAGACTGGGAAATGATTGGGGGGGCTACCACAGAATAGACAGACTGCAGAATGCGGACAGTTGTATGAGTAGCAATTATCATATTCTCTCGTGATCAAGAGGTTCATTTTAGGAACATGACAATAATAATAGTCACATCCTGCTGTTAGAGGCCTGAATAACACACTCATATTCGTGTCGATGATACCAACACTTTGTGATTGTATGTGATAGAGTCTCTGCATTTTGCTCATATCGGATGGTAGTGGAACGAAGTAACCACTTGAATAAGACACAGGTGACCATTATTGTCTGTAAGAGCAGGGGCGCGATAAACGTCAATGACTTCACAAAGTGTTTTATTAATTCCAGATTTAAGAATAAAATGTTCAGTGAAAAGTCTCTTCTCGGTGGCGAATTCATCCACTAAGCTGTCCAGTCACATTAAACTATATATAACTACGTTGTGTATGTGTGCACAATTGGATTGTCAAACAATAATAAAAAATTATTAAGGGTTATTGTTTACGGCAACAAATGTGTTTAGCTGTGATGAATAATGAAATTGTAACTACACGGGGTGGTTGGAGAAGATTGGTAAATATCGATAGGGATGGCATGATATGAAATAGGATGTTAGTAAAAAAAGCATGGAGACTCGCGTCCAAAATGAGTTATATAATAGATGGAAAGAGCCAACAAACGGTTGGTTAAGAAGACGATATTGCTAAGCTGTCATACAAACACTCAAAGAAAGCCTTATCAACAAAGTAGTAGTGTAACAACAGAAGGCGAGACACGGAAGCCAGGGTATATATTTCACATTATTCGAATCATTGTTCATGTAAATATACAGTTTATATTCGTTAAACACTCACTGAGCGTGTGATTTCGGTTCCCATTACGCGACGTGAAAGAAAATGTTCAAATATACATCCTATTGTGTTGCTAATGCAGTGCTGAAATGTGGTAATATGTGAGAAACACTTTCATTTGGAACACAATGTCTGTAACGCACCACCACATTAGAACTTGGAATTATACCCAAAGTAGAAGTGTGGTGAGAGCTGGCTGCTAGCCAAAGTCCGTAGACAGTAATTGACGTCAGTGTTTATATCCCCAATACTAGAGGTAAGAAAATTAGAAGAAAGGCTTTGCGTATGCGGGTACATTTAGCATATGGATGATCTGACACATCCACAAAGAGATGCAAGGTTAACTTTCTGTGAGAAACAACTAATCAAATGACTGTATTTTCTACCAACAATAATCTAAAACAATGTACATTAAAACCTATATATATGAGTTGATTTTCCTTAATAAACGATCTGATGCCTGGCCCTTGTCTTCTGTTGTTATAGGAGGAGGTAGTGGATACGTTTCTTCTGTGTACATAAATCAGGGTTTTCTATCCGTGTCGCTACACCCTCAGCAAGGCAAAACATGCAGGAGCTTAACTTCTACGGATGGCTTCCTTTGACTTCGTAGATCAATTTGAATGAAGTCTCCGTGCATACTGAGTGACCAGTGTTGAATGTATGTTCAGTTATAGCACTCCTTATTGATCCACTGTTACATTTTCGTAGGCCAAATCAGCAGGTCAACTGGTAGATACACATAGATGTGGTCAAATGCCAGAGTTCATCTTTGTAGTTGTTGAGGAACACTGGTCGGCTTGAGAATACCAGTTGTGATTAAGCAGCAGGGAGTGTTGTTTCCAGGGAATCAGATATTCTTCTCTTCAAGGTGTCGGTCAGAAGGTCACCTTGAACAACACTTTCATGTATAGCATCTTCTCAGGAAGAGAGATGGGTTACTCGCTGCTGCATTTCGGCTCTATGAATTTATATATAATGCTTGGCATGGTGGACAGTCATTCTCTTCAGTGATCTGAAATCAGTCTAAAAGTCAACTTTAGTAAACCCAAAGAACAACATGTGGATGGACAATACTAATAAGTCAGTTCCCCTGTGCTCTTCAGAGACTTGGTAGAATACCAGAAGTGTTTCTGACCGTTAATTGTGGATTTTCATCAACAAATGTCTTATCTCATTGACACTGAAGATTATTTGGTCAACCAGAAAGTATCAACATCAATGAATTCCGTCAACGAACCAACCTCGAATCGTCGATCGAAACGTGTACTGAATGAGATGAATGTTGATTGTAGAAATGTTGGAGAGATTTTCGTGTGAAATGGCATACTTCGTCAACTCGCCAGTGACAGTCGGTTGAAAAATGACAAGATTGACTTCGGTCCGAGAGTGGCATGGAGGTGATCGTATGAAGCGGGGGATAGTTACTCTTTGGAATCCGTGTAACGAGATAAATTGGACTGTGGGAAACACGATGAAATCGAATTGTGTTGTTCAGAAATGGTATTACACTCTTATCCTAATTAATAATGATAACTTTGATTCCGAGTGCAACATATGCCTTCAACAACGCAGCTCCACTTTCTTCTATTTTCTGCCATCCTCTAAAGCTGGTTTCACGGTTGACCGTAATCTCTCATTGACTCCTGTTCAACTCACTATCTCCTCCATGTGACCCTCACACAGACGACTCACTCGTCGCTTCACATTTGGATTCCACCCGAGCAACTGCCTGCATTGCTTGTGATGTCATTCGACACTTTCGTCAGCGTATGCCCAACCGATCCATCTGCACTTTCTCCTACATATTTGCTGAGCGATTTGACCTCACCTGTTAATTTGTTCGAATGCACAGTTTCTTGTCGCTTATCCCCTCCGGTTAAACAGCCATATGATCTTCAGTATGGAGACAGTGAAGGCAGCTGTTCACAGAGGTTTGCAACAGACTGTTGGAAATCCTTTTCATGACACGCCGGTCAAGTTTCGGACCCGTATACAAGGACCGACCGACTTGACATTGGAGTTGAAAACCTGAATATTGTTCCTTATGCTGCCGAAGTCCCTGGACAAGATTTCCACACTGCTCTCTCCGTGATGAAGGCGTATCTTGCCTTCCAGATTCTGGCTGGTGTTGACATCTTCGTCCGTTCCGACTGGCCGTGGTGGAAATGATGCTGGCTGTCTATAAAGGTGGAGGAAGTAACATTTGTCAAATCTCGACCGTCATTGATGATTGGTGCTGGTTGTTGTTGCTGCTGTCACGGTTCGTTGGTTATCTTCATCACCTCCATCCGTATTATCTATGTGCACCTGCATAGAGTCCTGTCTTTCTTCACTGTCCACTTCTTCGGCCAGCTTGTTGGTCTACGCCTGCAAGTCCTCCAGTTTGTGTGAAATCAAACACAAATCATTCACTCACGAAATTCAGATCATCTGGTGTCATCCTTCTGGTGTCAGCCCAGCGTATTCCTAACTCATCAATCTCCACAATCGATGCATGATCCAGTCCATCACCATTAGGGAATGACATTGGTGAACTGCTCCCGGATAGCGATCGACCTTATGCCTAACCAATACAATGTTCTGAGATCTGTTTTACCTGCAACACACCTACCTGTTCGGCTTCAGTTGCCAACCAGTGTGTTGTAGAACTGTCTTTTGTCTTTCCTAGAACTATTCTTCACTTCACTCTC